GCCGCCAACATCGCTGATGAAGAGAGCGATAACCCGCGTACGTCTTTCGTATCCATCATATCTATAGTCTGTTAATACGGCTTGCAGCTATTCAGAAAACTGGAAACTTACGATCTACCGTCTATGGCTTTTATGCCGCCGATTTCAAGATCGTTGACAGGAATGCGCTCACGGCGAAGGACGTCCCACACGAAGCATGGAAATGCGAGATGTGCGGGAAGAACGTCTATCATAACCTGATGACGAAGGATAAGTCTTCCGGTCACGGTCTTCACCTCCATGCTGAAAAGTGCTTCGGCATTGAGGCGGTGAAGGCCGCGTTCGAGAGCGGTGATCTAAAGGCCACACGTGACATGGTCAAAAAGGCAGGGAAGAAGAGGCAAGGTGTTCTTACCGGAATGCTGCAGGGTATTATTGCGAAGGGAAAGGAGATCTATGCGACGATGCCCTTCAGTAATGCTGAAACACGATGAGTGATTAATTGAGTTGATAATCGAGCTACTCACCAAGGCCGATATAGAGCTGAATGCGCCCGCTGGTGCTCTGAAAACTTCCGCCCTTTCAACATCGTTGCGGACCGCGGCTTCAAAAAGCTGATGAAGACTGGCTGCCCCGGAATGTACATCCCTCATCTGACCACTGTTTCCCGCGATACGAAGATTCTTTTCGCGAAGACGCGATGTCGGCTGGCAAAGAAATTTAAGGTAAGTTATCACCATACTCTGAAAGCTAGCGAGAACTCACAGTACTACAGAGCCTGAATAGTCATGTTCATATCGTTTTGGATGGCTGGACCTCACCGAATCATAAAGCCTTCATTGCATATAAGGCCCACTGGGAGGAAGATGGACAGTGTGTCAGCACAGTACTCGACTTCTATGAATTGCCAGAGGTATGACTTACCAAAGTCTCCATCTATCGCTGCTAATAATGGTTTTTGCAGTCGCACACCGGCGAGGCTCTTGCGGTGTTGACGAAAACGGTTCTTGAGGAATTCGGTCTTGAGGAGAAGGTACGTTCGTTGACTATGGTCTATGATCGAGTTAGCTCAGAATACTTCCAAGGTTTTGAGCGTTACCTGCGATAATGCTGCTCCCAACGATGTTATGATGGAATGCCTTGTCGACGGTTTACCCAACTTTGGTGGTCCCCGCGCCCGGACTCGCTGCTTCGCTCACATCGTGAACTTGGTGGCGAAGAGTATGCTGTGTTTGTTCAATCAACTGGCGAAGAAATCCAAGGGCAAAGATGGTAACGAGGATGACGACGAGGCAGCGGCTACTGCAGCTGCTGTTGATAAAGAGGATTCAATCGACACAGAGGAGATTCTGACACGGCTGCGCGAGTTGGAGGCAGGTGGCTCAGCGGAGCAGGATGATCCTGACAATGACCTCTACGACGCCTTTACCGACATGACAGCAGAGCAAAAAGAGAAGTTCCGGACAGACACAAGACTCGTTAGTTCTGCATTACGGAAGGTGAGTTCTTAATCTCACGTAGAGCATGCCACGAGTTTCGGCCAGCGCAGGTAACTCGCAGGTAACCTGCGACTCGCGACTCGCGACCCGGGTTCGCGCAAGTCGCAGGTTTGAGGTTGGAGGATTCTGCAAGTACTTGTGCAGGTTCCGGTAGTCAGTTAAGATATAATATTATGCATATAAACTGTGTTATACATATGAATATGATCCAACAGAGTTGCAATAGGCTGTAGAGATGATGTTTGCACTAGTTTAACCTCAGTTGAAGGGGATATGAGTGAGTTATAGCTCAAAACTCATCAAAAACTCGCGAGTTTTAGACCTGCGACTCGCGAGTTTGAGACAAGTTGCAAGTCCGGACTTCAGATATGCAAACTCAGGCAAACTCGACCCGCCAGACCCGGGTTTAGACTCGTGGCATGCTCTAATCTCACGCTGTCATCAGCGCATTTAGTTAAGCGCCGTACTTATGTCTTGTTAGATTCGTACCATTTTCTTCAAGATTATTAACTCGACGACCATTCTCCTGCCTCGATGGAAGAAGCTCGTTGAAGAGCACCGCCTACCGCCTAAAGTCCTACCGCGCGACGTATCAACTCGCTGGAACTCAACTTACGACATGCTAATGACAGCCATTCAATACAAACGAGTCATTCGGGACATTACCGGCGAGGATGCGCTGCTGGACTACTCAATGATTGCTGGAGAGTGGATGGCCCTTGAGAACCTTTGCGAGGTTCTGGGAGTAAGTTATTTACTTGTTGCATTCCTTTTGTCCCGTCGTCTCATGTCTTGCAGGCTTTCAAAGATGCCACAACATACTTCTCTCGTGACGACACCAACCTCACCACGGTAATTCCAGCTATGGACAAACTCGATGCTATGCTTGCGACTGCTGTCGTTCGGAAGCGCGGCGACGAGCCGGACATTACACTTGCCTCGCCGATGAAGGCTGCCGTACTTGTTGCGAAAGATACTCTCAACAAGTACTACAGTCTATCCGACGAGTCCGAGGTGTATCATATTGCCCTAGGTACGTGCTTTTCTTGAGTTGTTCATGCTATTCTAACCATTTCTCAGTTATGCACCCCAAACACAAGACCAGGTACTTCGATGAGCACAACTGGCCTTATGAATGGAAGACCGACGCCGATGCACTTATTCAACGTGTCTTTGGGGAGTATCTGGCAGCGTACATGGTGGGTATGCATGCTGCAGCGGAGGCTCCTTCCCAGATGCAGGTATGTTCATCATTTCCAGTGCTATCTACCATTCGCTCACGGTGACATCCAATCACGAATAGCCATCGACGACAAAACAGTCTAAATCAAACATGTTCTCTGATGACGACGTCAACGAGCCCCAGCCCGCGAAGCAAGTCAACAACCCCGCCGGCGAATTGGATCGTTATCTTGACGCTCCGCGAGAGAACGTCAAGGACGTCATGGGTTGGTGGCACAAGCATCATGCTGACTATCCCGTTCTCTCGCGCATAGCATTAGACTACCTGTCAATTCCTCGTGAGTCTGCCCTTAAGTCTATCCTACCTTGCTGATAATTCTTGGCAGCGACATCGGTTGGCATTGAGGGACTTTTCAGCCAAGGTCGGATCCTCCTCACCCACATTCGTAATCGCCTCTCGGCCCAGACTGCTCACACTCTCCTGTGCCTCGGTGCTTGGAGTTGCGCCAATATGATTGATCCTCGTGATATTGGAGACGTTACTAAGATGCCCGCGCTACATGAAGAGGATTAGACCTGGGCACGAGTGCCCACCCGGGTGCACTCGCACTCGCGGGACGGGTCATTCGCGACTCAGAGCTGGACACCCGCACTCGAGTGACACCCGAGTGCGGCACTCGAGTGCGGCACCCATTCGCGGGTGTTCCGCACACACGAGTGTGTCGCCACCCGTGTATGGTGACGGGTGTACCCGTGTACACCCGAATCCTCCACATCCTCCACCTCAACTCGCGGTCACTTCATGCCACGTCGGCATCCTCCAGCAATTGCGGGAGGAGCATCGGCGGTGCATGATTCAGATGACGCGATAGGTGTGGAGGATGGGAGGTAGATGGAGATGGTCCGGTGGTATGGCGCCTCATTGGAGGGCTTACCCGTGCAATAGAAACCTAGAATACAGAGTTAGTACAATAAAAGATTTGACAACGTCCGCAGACGTCGCCAACAGCAAGAAGAAAAAATAAAAACGTACCTCTGCCGCGTCGCCTGCAGACGATGAGGCAGCCCATATCCGCCGCCCCCGCTCTTCAAGCACGCTGTTCAGCGTGGCGGGCGGCGTCTCCTCCTTGAAGTATGCAGATGCCGACTCTAAGTCGAGCGTCAATAGTCCTGCTGCCTCGGTTGCGAGGGCTTACGCGTCCGACCGGCGGTGTTTCCTTGGAGACGACGTAAAGTCGTTCTCCATTTATACGGTGCCGACTCAGAGTCGAGCGCCGGTGTCTTCATCGCCGACTCAAAGTCGAGCGACGGGACGTCGGAAGTGGTGGTAGTTGGTGAGAGAAAAGAAAACTAGCCGATCGCATGCTTACGCGTCGCTTCGGCACTCGGCCCGAGTCGCCGGATCTGGAAAAATCAGTGTATATGCCTCATTTATGGGGCACAAGGCCCCGTTTAACTTGGGAAAAAATATGTAAATTCACTATAAATATATATATTAATACCCGAGTGTTTACACGGGTGTTTGGGCACGGATACTCGCCGCCCAAAGCCGAACACCCGCACTCGGGTACCCACCCGTGCAAACACACTATCCGGCACTGCCAAACACTCGACACCCAGGTGTGAGCGCCGAGTGCACCCGGGTGCACACTTAAACACCAGACACTCTTGCCCAGGTCTAAAGAGGATGGAGACGAGGATGGGGACATCTTGATGCCCGAGGGCTTTGACACCATTTCGAAGGAGTAACAGTTCCTTTTTATGATTTTCTCATCGTATGTTACTAGTATATAGATCTGTTCGATTATTGTACATGCTGGATACTTTTGGTACATAGCAATATATTCATATTGTGTCAAATACTTAGATTGTAAGTAGGGTATCGGGCTATCCGTTACCCTTGCCATACCCGAGGGTAACCCGGTGCAAAACCCGAACCCGACATAGCGGGTTCGGGTGGTTCAGAGGGTCGGGTTCGGGTAACTGTCCGCTGACCCGAACCCGACCCGCGCTATTCACTACAAGCGAAAAAGCCGGAAAAGGCAACAAAGCTGGCTGTACTGTAGCGTTTCGACCGTAACTTCATGGCCTGTGACCCGTTATGGTGTGAAGTTACAGCGAACAGCTTCATAGACCCTTAAATTGCCTTATTTGGACAGTTCTGCTGCAGGTGGGACCTAAAATTTCCTTATTTGGAGGCTCGTGCCTGGCCAAAGTGGTCTGTGACCCATTATGGTATATATATAGCTTCACTTCAAAGACCCCCATTGTCATGCATATAAAATGGTTCCTAATATTTTCTAAGAAATAACGGAAAAGATTAGTGTATCGCCATAAAAGAGGTTCCTTGACGAGAGTCGAACTCGTAGCTCTTGATCATGTGAAATTTATTCGTATAGGCAGATGTATCAAGCGTGTTGACCATTACACTACAAGGCCTATATGATTAAGGTACACAGATTCAAAAACAGAGCTGTGGGTAGACCACGTACTAGCTCTTGTAAGAATCGAACTTACGACCTCCTCTATTTCGACCCACGCGTAAAGCTGAAATGCAGGTATGCCCGTTACACCAGAGAGCCATGATTGTCTGATAAAGATATATATGATGATTAGAGGACTGTGCAAGGCTACGCGAGAGCTGTGCAAGGCTACGCGTATAGCTACACGTATGGCTATGCAGGGCTATGCACAGAGCTGTGTATTTCCTCATATAGAAGTAGGTAGGATTTTAGTATATAAGGCAAGCGGTATTAGATGATCAATAATCAATCTACCCAGTTTTACAATCACTTTCGTGTGAACCCTAGCTAAAATCAAGCTTATATTCAGTTTTTTCTTCTAGTACGAAACTAGAAGACCCAGTCAACAGCAACTCGTTTAGGTAACTCTGTTTAATACAGAGTTAAATTCAAAAGATCAGATCGAATACGTAGATACAAGAATGCTTGTATCATTAACCGAAGTGAACAATCACTTCCATAGTAAGTTTTACAGAGACAGATATATAGACACAATATCGCTTGTGTCAACCGAAGTGCATTGATAAGTCACTTCCTCAGTAATCAAGACAGAAACAGATACATAGACACAATATTACTTGTGTCAATCGAAGTGCAATGGTAAGTCACTTCGATAGCATTCACGTGAACGACTTATAGTAGGACTAAACCTACTAAGACTCTACTAACAGCTTAGATTTCCCCTACTCAGATAGAGATATCGAAAGAGTATTTAATATTAACCCCGAACAAACAGACTAGCTCGTTCTACATAAAGTTCCAGCAACCTCTGTGCTAGAGAATTTACATTTAAATTTTCTAGTATGATAAACTTAGAGCCCACCGCGAGGGAATCAATATCATCAATACTCTTAGATACTACAGTATTCGCACGAATGTCTCAAGAGACATTCCCCATCCATAATTTCACGCAGCCTGATACCGACACATTCTATATCTTCCCCAATAATTTAGAACCTCAAATGGTTCAACCTTCCTTGATTGACACTACAGACAACGAAGACACTAGTCTTTCCACTAGTATCTTCCTATCCACTCTTAGTCCAATTCAGGCTTCCTTCATTAGGAAGTAAGTCTGCACCTACAAAGTTTGCAAGAAACTATGAAGACGTTAAGATCTTCCTGCGCAGATACGACCGACTCTGCAAAGCATATAATGTGCGAGATGCTGAGAAATGTGAGCGGATAATTGATTATTGCTCTCGTTCTGTAGTACGCTTGATTGAGTCATTACAGAGTTACAGAGATGATTGGGCTCAGCTTTATGAGGATCTGCTTGAATTTTATGATGCAGATTTGAAGGAGACACGATATAATGTCCGTGATATTCGTAAACTCGCTAAGAAATGGTATAAGAAGAAGATTTCTAATCTTCGAACATGGAAGAAGTATCAAAGAGAGTTCATTACTATAAGCGGATGGTTGGTCTCTAAACGGAAGCTGACCATGGATGAAGAAGCAGTCTACTTTTGGCATGGAATCAACAAGACGTTGCGAAGAAGAATTGAAAGTACATATGTTGCTCGTAATGCCAGTGTTGATCTCACTCAAGCTTTCTCCATTGAAGCTATTAATAAAATTGCTCAAGTCATATTTACTCGTAATTGGTTTAATACCAATTTAATTGATTCAGACCATGAGTCCGAAATTGAGAGAGATGAGTATATTTCAGACTCCTCTTCCGATTCCTCTGACTCGATAAGCTCAGAATCAGAAGATGACTCTGACAGCGACATAGAAGACACTCAGAAGAAATATCGTAAAGTGTCTAAAAAGAAGAAACTCACTAAGCGAGCATTAGATCGAGGAAAACATAGTGAGAAGAAGGAGTCGAAGCTAGATAGGAAACTAGCCCAGATTGCTCAGATCTCTAAGAAGGATGAGACTAGACGCTCTGAAGAAAAAGCTGCGGAGACATTAGAAGTAGCTAACTTAATCTCACACATAAGTCGCATGTCGATAAACGATCCCAGCTACTGTAGTATTTCGACCGTAGGTTCACAGGGTGTAACCTGTGACCTCGTGAACTTGTTTGGTGGGATGTTCACAGTGGATATACCACTGTGACTCACTGAAAATAAATTCACTAAATTTTTCAATGGCAAGGTTATTTCACAGGTTTTAGGCTGAATCTCAGTATAATTAGAGAAAAATGTGCTATTCTAGACTTAAAATATACCAAAAAGGAGAAAAATCCTATAAAAACTGCCACTAAGCTCAATTTGAGAGCAAAAGTCCGATTTGTGACCAATTTGGGGCAGGTTCACAGCTAAAAAAAAACTAGTGACCTGCTTATGTAATAGGTTCATTTTTTGGGCTCGTGACCTGTGACGTGAACCTATGGTCGAAATACGACAGTATGCTGTCATGTACTATCAAGCTATCAAGAAGGATCCTATTTGTAAGGATGTCATTCGACGTCCTCAAATTAATTCACCACCTATAGCAGAAAGATCATCGTTTCGTTCACCATTTAATCGATCCATTGATATGAATAATATTGCTACAGAAGCTAATTCAGTAGCTATCATGCCCAACTCCATTCCATTAGGAATACGGCAAGGACTCCTTATATGACATCATCGATCAGAGAGGGTTTAACGTTAACTCTCTTAACTCTGATCGGTTAAACTTGTTACTTTGATTAAATTGCCTTGACCTTTGGTTAAACCCGTAGTTAAGCCATAGCTGGGGCTTTTGTACTCTATAGGTATGTTTTATAAATATCAATCGGAGCTATGACAAACTACGGAGGGAATGGTAATGAGTTGGTGGTGATGGTTCGCCGGCATCGGGAGGACCGGTATCGAGTGCAGCGATGCACTTGATATTCCAACAGTTAGGTACACATATATACATTCACGTGAATGACATAAATAGCTATAAAAGGAAATAAATATGATCTATGTGCACACTTTCGCATAGAAAAAAATATGCTGCCAGATTCTAAAGAAACTTTGCAGAGAAACATTAATTATACAACTCTTTTCTTTCTTAAAAGAAAGAATTAAGAATGTCAGAAGAATATAATGAGTAGGGCCGGCACGCGGCAGCACCCGAAACACACAGAATACGAGGGGAGATCTCCGGGGTCCACTCTCTTTCCTGCATTCGCTGCCGAACGCTGCAGATATAGATGTCTCAGAGATCAAGGGCAACGTGTCTAGAGATCACCATGAGTCGCATGAGTCTGGAGAGTACTCGTGAATCAACTCGGAACTCGCAGGGTCAAATACTCGACTCGACTCGTGAGTCAGGAGGACTCGAGTCAGGCGAGAGTCATGAACAGCCTAAGGCTAATATCTGACTCGTGTCCTGACTCGTGTTGACTCGTGCATGAACACATGAATCAATGACAATAGCTGCTAAATAGCTTAAATAAGGTTTAACTACAGCAATATACTAGATGAGTCTGGAGAGTACTCGCGAATCAACTCAGACTCGCAGGGTCAAATACTCGACTCGACTCGACTCGTGAGTCAAGGGGACTCGAGTCATGCAAGAGTCATGAACAGCCTTTGACCCCATGAGTACTCGCCTGATGAGTCACGAATCGACTCGAGTCAGGACTCGTGTGATCTCTAGTGCTGCCGAGAACTCAAGCATCATCAGGCCGAGCAAATTGATTCCAGGAGCGTCACTCGTTAAGCTTCGCCATGTCCTTTTCTCACCAGTAGGCTTCCCTTTAATTTCTTACTTGATTTAGTATTAATGATGCTTCAGAAGGTAGAGGGCCACGGAGGCTTCAGATGTTGCCCCTCCTGCAAGTGCTACTCAAGATGCCCCTGCGGCGTACTCAGAAGACGATGCCAAATGTATGTCTTTGAATTCTACCTTATGTCTTACTCTCTTACTAATCAGTCACCCCTCCCTGTGTTCTTCCATTCATCATGAGTCTTCTGATACTGATGAAATATCTCTTACTCTTGTCGTCGCAGAGAGACGTCAGCAGAAAGCTGACTGGGACGAACTATATTCAGAAGCCTGCTGGGATGAGGGCAGCATATGAGATGACCTGGATGAGGATGCGTTTGGTGCAGATGGTGCGGCCGAGTGGCTTAGTAGTGAGGCCGACTTTGAGCAGTGGCAGAACGTGGTGGCGCTTACCTATTCTGCCAACAAGTGGGTGGATGAGGATGATGAATTTGGAGATGGGCCATGGAGTGACGCCGACGTCAACACATTCTTTGACACCCAAGAAAATAGCATCAGCTTCTCACAGGCATCGAACCATATTGACAGCGACGATCTACACACCTTCCCACCTACACCCTCATTTGTCTTTGATGAATGTGCATACCTAGAGCTTATTCATCAAGGAATCATGTTCGGCCTTAAGCATGTTCACCACCAAAGCACTGTCCTAACGGCAGTCAGTACACAGTTTTAGTCGAGTGTTCGACTCCTTGGACCTTCGCGTTGGCAACGTTGCAGATACCGTTCAATCTCTGCAAAATGTTTACACATCCTTCGACGCTGATACACTCACAACCTTGAAAGACGTCATTGATAGACCACCACTTCCCTACTCATAGGCCAGGCATCTTCCCGCCGCCTTGGACCCTACAATGGTAGATCCCGATGTTACTAGAGTAGTAGGTGCACATGTCTACCATCGCTTCCTTTCCAAACTCCATTACAAAGTCATCTTATGTCACAATATACTCCTCGGCCTTCATACGGGCCAATACAACTTTTCTCTACTTGCATCCCACAATGTTGAGCTTTTCCGCATTGTTCACAAAGCCAATAATGGCTTTCAGTGTCTTAACAACGGTCACCGGATGGCAGAAGCATGGGTACCAGCCCAGTTCAATGACAATACTTAGCCAGCACATCCGCACATTGGATCGCAGTGCGAGGTGGGCAGGAAGTGTGTTTGGCGCATCCCCATTGCTCTTTATGAGAGCATGTCAT